ACCTCGATTCAGCGAGGAGAACTTCCCCAAGAATCTCAAGCTGGTGGAGGATATCAAGGCCATTGCTGACGAGAAGAGCTGCACTCCGGGTCAACTTGTCCTTGCATTCTTGATGGCTCAGGGAGACGACATAATCCCGATTCCTGGAACCACAAGAGTCAAGAACTTTGACGAGAACATGGGTGCATTGAACATCAAAATCACACCACAGGATAACGAGAAGATCCGGAAGGTCATTGATGCGGCTGAGGTACACGGTGCTCGGTATCCCGAGGCTTTCTCCAAGGCTCTATTTGTTGACACCGTGCCGCTGAGAGAGTAATCTGTAAGGGCTTTTTCCAAAAAGGGATGAGCGAGAAGAGAGACGATTTCTCATTCACTACCAAAGCGGAGGAGAGACTTGTCGACATACCCTGTTCCGTGTAGCCATAAAATTACATTTCGTAAAATCGCGCCGTTGAAACCATTCACAACACCATCGCCCCTCAATTGCTGAAACGCCGGACGAGATGTGTGTCCGGCGATCTGCATTCAATCCTCAATCTGCCTCATCTTGGGAACCTGCCATCTCCTCCGTGGTCCAAGGTCCTGTAGGCTGAACTGTGGTTTTCTCGGCTGATTTCGGAGAAAGAGGTGGTAATTGGCCTTGACTCGACTCATGGCCCGCCGTGTTTGAATCTTTTGGTGGTCGAGGAGGATGCTGCTGTATGCGAAGCTGAAGCGGGGAGCGCGAGGCGCGGGCATGGTGAATGTGAGAGGGAGTCTGGGTATTGAGGTTTTGCTTGATTTCACAGCTTTATGTAGTGAGCAAGCGCATGTATGTCGTGCCGCTAGCGGCAATGTGAATGAGATTAAGGACTGCTTCTGTTTGAGGGAGCGAGTGGTTGGGATGGGAGCCTCTAGTGCCTGCTGTACACAGCGCACCGAGTACACAAGGCTGGCATTGGAAATATGAGCGGAAGTTAGTCTCGCCGCACCTTCCTTGCCAAGCGCTCCTCTCTACTCGTACATTGAAGTTGACACCATTCTCGAGGGGCTCGCTCTTTAGATTCCACATCGTCCTTGTCCCCCAGACCATATCTTGTACTCGATCCGGTAAAAACTCTGTAAGAATTGGCCATCATGGACCCCTTCTCCGGCGAAGGCGGTATGCACATCATCCTAGCCTCGCATCCTGAAACTCACCTACTGACCAGAGTTCAGAACTCCTCAATATATCCACCGCATTCTACACTCACGCCTACCGCACCGTTCTCGCATTTGACACCTCTTCCCTCTCGTCAGAAAACAAGACCACAGCACAGATTCTCAAATACCGCGCACAAATAGCGGTCGGCGATGCTTCCTCCGTTATTTCCTCCCTCAAACAATCGCAAGACGCCGCCTCTCGCTCAATAGTTGCTTTGGCACAACAAGCGGCCGCCAACCACTCCGCAGCACTCGAAACTGCATTGGCTCTGGCTGAATCGGATGGCGAAGATGCCGTCGTACAAATATGTTGCGGTACTGTCCTCGCGGCGGCAGGCGAATATGTGAAAGCCGTCGACCTCTTGTCCAAACACCAAGGCTCCCTGGAAGCCGTGGCAATACTTGTCCAGATCCACCTAATGCAAAACCGCACAGATTTGGCGATCAAGGAAGTCGCCGCTGCGAAACGCTGGGCTCAAGATTCGTTACTCATCAACCTAGCCGAAGCTTGGACAAATCTAAGAGAAGGCGGCCAGGAGAAATACCAATCTGCTTATTACGTCTACGAAGAACTTGCATCCACGCCAGGGAATACCAGTCCTACGGCATTGGTGGGCCAGGCTGTTTCCGAGATACATTTGGGGAGATTGGAAGAGGCCGAGGCGGCATTGCAGCAAGCTGTGGGAATGGCAAATTCAGATGTACAAGCCATTGCCAATAGCGTTGTGTTGGCGAGCATTGTCGGGAAGAAGAGTGATGATGTCCAAGCCCTACTCCAGCAGCTACGGGAGAGAGATGCAGAACATACGCTATTGAGGGATTTGGAAGAAAAGAGCCAGCTCTTCGATAATGCTGCGGCGAAGTACAGTGCGAAAGTTGCAGCATGAGAAGTGTCGCCGACGCTGTTTGATATTACGAGAAGGTGCAGTCCTCGGCAGGACAGAGAAGTAAATGACCAAAAGATCCATCCTCCAACTTTTCATGAAAGATATGACATATGCAAGGCGCACAAAGGGACAGGAAGTCGCGGGAAGGCGCTCTTATAGACAGAACAGCGCAAAAATTACACGCGTCTTGCACTATTACTCTGGCCCTTCTGGAGCATACATGGTAGGGTATGTAGGAGTAGAAACAGTCTTCCTTTCCTCACCCTCGAAAGATGGCGGGATTCGGGAGTGATCGGTTATTGGGGCTCGAATCAAAGGTCATTCACTCAGTGGCGCCTTGGATTGTGTGTTTTTCCGCCTCATATTACGTTCCAGATGACCCAGTGCGAGTTTCCTTTTGGACGACGGGATTGGAAGTGGAGAGCATGGCATGCGTTACCACCCCACTGCATCATCCATATCGTACACCATCGACTACATCCCTCGAATGGACAGACGGATACAAGACTTTTCCTTCTCCTGATTATCTTTGAGGCCCAGTTTCGTTTCACCTTCAGGTCTTCTTCTGCACTGGGTCAAATGGGCAATCTAGGGCTTCTCAACCCTTAAACGGCTCAGTACACGACACGAGGCAGGTGCAGTGAGTGGTCCTGTTGCAGGTAATGACGCCATTGATCTGTTGAACCCCGTTGATGGCGACTTGTCCGGATGCAGTGGGAACGATGGTAGAGATCAAGGCTCTCTCCCCTTGATTCTCGCTGTATCCGCCAAATTAGGATAGGCCTCGGCAAACAAGGGTCCCAAACTCCAGTTTTCAAGGCGCCGAATATGGCTCTCAAAGACTGGATTGATAACCGGCTCTTCTTTCTCCGAGGTGCTCAGTAGACAATCCACCGGATCGTACGGCCAGTTGACACTGAGACCCGAAGTATATGGAAAGAACCAGTTGTCGAAAGGATAATCTTGCGGGTTTGCCACGACCTTATCTCGCATCCGCGGCCAGAGGATATGGTCCATCCACGCTGGATGAGGGTGGAAAACTTGCGCCGGGGTAGGCCGGGACCACTCGGGTAGCCGCTCGTAGTTCTCCTTGGTCGGGTGGATTTGCCAGCGCATATGGGTGAACATGACGTACAATGTCGCCACTTGTTCAGGCAGTTCGGAGATGTTGGGGAATTTCGAGATGATGTCCGTCATAAGCTGGGATAAATCGTCGAGCGAGCGGCGGGGCCTGCTGGGATTCAGGAGAGAGGAAACAGAAGGGTAGGATGGTGTGGTGGGAAGAGCGTTGGCGGCCCCCACCGGTTCACCCTGACGAGATTGTAAGAATTTGAGGAGTAAACTGTCAAGAGGGCATGTGGGCGGACTATTTTTGGGAAGGACACTCCAGGATACTGTAGGAAGTTGTAGTTGGTCGGGCAGAGTTGAAGGAAGGGCTGGGTAGGCGGAGCCCAGGCTGTCAGGCGAGGTCTGCTGCTGCATCTGCGGCTGTTGAGGTCGCAGTCGAGGTTGAGGGCCTGCATTGCCTGTTCGCTGTCCCAAAAGATCGAGCAGGAAACCAAAATTGACACGCTCCCCGCCGTCATTCAACTCGAGACTCCGTTGGAGGTTGTCTCGCTGGTTGTTCAGAGCATCTCTGGACGCAGGTAAATGCCTGTGCTCCTCGGCCCCTTCTGCTCCAAACGGGGAGGGATGCGTTGAGGCTTCTAACTGGGCTTGTGAGATATTGGGAGAGACGGAGAAGCTTGCACTCCCATTTCGCTGGCTGTTGAAGGAGGTTGGATCCGCTTGGGCGCCGTTGTTTGGCGGGAAGACAGGTCTAGGATGGGGATTCGCTTGGCTTAGTCCGGCGTGGACATTGTGCTGCGCGGCGGTTGCGAGATCTAACAGGCACAACAGTTAAGATGGAACAGCCGGAATTGTTCAAGAGAGTGAAGAGCAATACCGGTCAAACCCTGCGCTCCTACTATGGGTTGAATGATGGACATGACCGAGGCGAGCCTCCTCCGAATCTCCTCATTCTCGGCCTGGATGGCATCTTTCTGTCTGATGACGGCTTCAAGCTCTTGATACGGTTGGTGGGATGTCAGCTCCTGTATCCTGCGCTCCAGATTCTCAATCGTCTGCTTTGTGCGCTCTCGAATGGCACGTTGGGCTTCCCGGTCGTTGGCACGCTTTTTGGCAAGCTGCTCTGGGGTGAGGGTGTCGACACTGCGTGAGCCAGGCGTGGCATTTTTGCGTTTTCGGCCATCCTGCCATAGAGAAGAGGGAGAGAGGTTGTAGTCGGCCTGTGCGGATGCGGAGGCATGAGAGGCAGGAGAAGCTGGATCTCGCTGCATGTTGAGCGACCTTGCTTATCAAGGGAAAGCTGTGCCTGCAACGCTTGAGTCAGTGATCAGGGCAAAATGTGAAGGACCTTACTCGGGAAAAGCCCGTTTTTGTTCTGGTTCGATGCGCTGATACGTCGAGGACGTGGAGAATAAATCACGGTCTGACAAAAGGGTGACTTCGAATACGGCGTGTGGCTTGTCGATCCGGGGAGCCGGCTCGCCGGATATAGGGCAAGTTAGGGCTGGTTGGGCTGGACAAGGCTAGGTACCGAGTATCGCGCACGAAGTAATAGAAAGTCAAGGGGTTGGTATTCTTCGGTTCAGGTGGGGAATCGGGTCGAAGAACAGTCAGTGAAAGAAGAAGCATTTTGTTAAAGACATTTTTTTCATCACTTCTTTGAATTTTTTTTTTTTTTTCCTCCTGTCTTTCAGCTATCTACCTCATTGCTCCGTCTGTGATCGGGGATTTCTGAAACTTTCACCTTTTGCTCTCTCCACTTCCGTCAAAGAACATGCCCCTAGATCCCAGTAGATATGAAAATATGGCAGAGGATCAGCACCTTCACAGGCTCGAATGTCCAGCCTAGTTCAAACTTCAGTTCTGTACGTTACAGTGGTTCCAAAACTTGAATTCCGTTTCGACCTCATAGACGGCTGGATAGCTGTAGAGAGCACCTTTAGCCACCGGGTCCTCCTCGAAGAGCGCTTCCGCGACATGTTCCATCCCAAAGTACTCGTTGTCATCCAAGCCACAACTGACAAGCTCTTTGCTATGCTTGGCAACTTTCGCCTTCGAGGTTGCCTTAGCCGCCTCTGAGTGTTGTTGGACGCCGCTCTGCTTGAACGGTATATGTTTTCCTTTCAGGGGAGCCAAGTGTCGGTTTCGTTCCTTGTCCAGCATTCTGCCATTAAGCTTCAGAAACTTGAACATATCTTTGGTTTGCTTTGCTGCACTCCGACCTAGAAGGAGATCGTACTCGTAGCCTACGAAGGCCAGCTGATTGTCGCTGAATTGAATGAAGTCCTCTCTCTGGAGATCCTCTCCAATCGCGTAGGCTTTGTCGGTTTCAACTGAATCCTGCAAAGGTATCTTTGTTTTTTCACCAATGAAGGCCGAGAGATCAGCCACATCTCTCGAGATGAAGAGATCAGTGAGGAAGAGTCGAGTGACAGATCGAGGCACTGCTATAATGAATTCTCGAGCAAACCAGGGCGACTGAGAATAGAGATGAAGTTTAATAACTTGAAGAGATTCCATTCGTGAGACGCAATTATTTAACGCCCCCATAATAAAGTTTGCATAGTGATGGCTTTCCTCAGACAGGGCACCATGAACGCAAATTTTGAGTTTGCGCAATCGTTTGGCGATATGTAGTCTATGCAGAAGGAAAGTAGCCTCCTGATAGAAATTAATTTTGTTCGTATGCACTTGGAATTCCATGTCTGGAATCACCAGTTCTAGGCTTTCCAGAGTAGTAGCCGTTTTTACAGTGATCCGACTTGTGGAGAAGATGAAATTCGAATCGACACGTAGTTCTCTCACCAGAGGGGCATGCTCGTGCACCGGGAATATGAGATTGCCAACTGCCTGGCATATGTTGATGTACCCGCCATGTAGGACAGTCCCGGGATCTGCTGCAATGTACAACTTTTCCAACGGTGGTTTGTTCCTGAGGATATGTGCTTGAAGTAGAGGAAGGTTGAGGTTGTCCAAAACTAGGACCCTCAGCTTCGCTAGCCAGGGAATGCTGTTGACCAGAGCCAGGCGACGTTGGTGCTGCTGTCCATCAATGGATAGCCGGCGGACCCATGGTACAATCGAAATATCATGTTTACCACAAGGGTGAGTAGTGGAACTCGTCTTGACCGCATAACCATCTACTCCTACGCCGAATAGGTGGAGCTCTTCAAGCCGAGTTGAACGTCTCAAAACTTCGGCCATCTGGAGGAAGACATTACTATGGCTGTTGTGCGGAATTCCAAGGAAGAGAGTTTTGACACGCTAGTAAACATTGCTCTTGATCGTGTTTATATTCAACGTCGTCATGAGGAACTCTTTCGCTCGACTGGCTGGCACTAATACAGTGGATTGGAAATTTCGGCATCTGCATGATTCGTGGTATGTCTGTCGACAGATAAAATGAAATATCTCGCATCCGGTCGAAGGTCGAGCCCCAATGACCTGCTGGGAAGGGATAAGAAGTGCCACAACGGCGTCTCGAAGTTCTTGGGGAATACCTAGGAGGTGGTTCTTCGGGTATTCGATGGTGGAAGGTTGAACAGTTGCAATTTGAGACTGAAATATACCCGCCAATTGAGGAGCCCTTGGTCGGATATTTGCGCAATGGAAATGGGTCGATATCCGCTGGAAATGTCCTACCAAAGGATGAGTGAGGTCTAGACATGAAAAGTCCGTGCCTTGCTACCGTTGTTGACTCCATTCATCTGCACAGCAGTAATGGGTACCATTTTGACTGGACGAATGAAGGTTGTCTGCCTTCTATGACAGAGAAAGCAAATCGGAAAGTGATATAAGTCCGCACCTTCAACTTTGAGGCTCAGGAATGACGGAAAATCCGAGTTCGTCTTGGAATGAACGCTGCCTCGGTCACTGATACAACGAAACAATGGTTGCTTGGTCGCAAACTTAGGCAAACAGTTCTTGAATGTGTGATATCACCGGTGAACCTCCAGATCGAGACACGTTGAGACGATGGGAGAAAGAACGAGCCAGCTCGTGAGCTTTTTAAGGAGTGATTCAAGCTGTGAATGAGCCAATCAGGCAATGGGTGAAGATCATGAAGGTTTATATACCGTATAGGTGAGCACGTGCTGCCGCGTTTTCTCGGCGCCTGTGGCTGGTACCGGCGTTATACAGCATGCGATCTGGAGAAGGAGTATGTGATCTGAACCAGGAATAGCTTTCAGAACTCTTTCACTTGCAGACGCAAATTGTACTGCTGGTGTGAGGTATATATGAAGCAGCACGTGATCCGAATCAGGAACTGCTTTCAGAATTCCTTCACTTGCAGATGCAAGTTGTACCGCTAGTGTGAGGTATCTTGGAAGACGGAGATTTGGCTGGAGAGAGAATACACTTGCAACCTATAAAAAGCTTACCGGTGGCCAGCAGACAAGCAAGTGTGAGACATGGATTGCTCAACTTATCAAGAGCGATAGCACCGAATCGTCAAAATACATGGCAACCCTTAGGAACACAAGTGATTCTCATCCACGGCCATGGAGTCCTTGACTCAAAGTGCTCATAGTGAATGAACGGGCTTGTGGAAACACCCCGACCGTTAAGTCCTGAGAGAGCAAGCGGAGAAGGACCACATTTTGTTTCTGAGACTGCTGTTTCCTTGTTCTATCCGCTTCCTGGTCAAAGTTGGGAGAGAGGGTTTCATATCCATGTCTAAGTCAGTTGACAAGATGCAGGAGCTTTTGATACAGTTCGTTGAATGTTGATTCTGATGGTTTGGCGAGAACAGTCGTCCCTACCTTGCCAGAGACGTGACTGGAACTTCTACGTCTTGGACAGAGGAGTTGATCATGTATTCGCGACGGGTGTGAGGTCTGTGATATGGATCGCTCCAGGAGGATAGATCTAAAGATAGCTGATTTGACTGTCTGGACACTAGACAGTAGGAAGATGGTTGCTTGTCAGTCAGAGAAGAAGAAGAATCTGAAATTGAGCGTCGTCGAGATTTCTATCGTTTCACGTAGTCACGGGACTCGGTCAACCTTCCTTCCAGCAATCTGTTGCATGTCACCGCAGCCGCATCTGTTTTCCTACCAAAATCCATCGAGCTTCACATTCTCTTGTTGTTCCTAACTCCTAGACGGCGGTGGAGGGGTTGGAGGTTATGCAGGGGAGGCTCTATGCTCGCCAGTCGGTGAGGCTGCGCTTTGTCCGGACCCTGCAGACAACCACCATTCGAGCTACCTCCCAAGTTCCTCGCCTGGACTTTCGTGCCATCGATGTTAAGTGGCAGCAGAGATGGGCAAGCCAGCCGAAAGTTGTAGGACAGTCGAGTCCTCCGCGCAAATCCTACGTCCTACCCATGTTCGCCTATCCGTCCGGATCTCTTCACATGGGGCATCTTCGTGTCTACACCATCTCGGACGTTATTGCCCGTTATCGACGAATGCAAGGTTTCGATGTGCTTCATCCGACCGGCTGGGATGCTTTTGGACTCCCGGCAGAGAATGCCGCAATCGAGCGCGGCATTGATCCGGCTGTTTGGACGGAAGATAATATCGCAAAGATGAAACGGCAGCTCAAGAGCATGAATACAAGTTTCAACTGGGATGCTGTAGGTCAGAGGCATAGAATACATGTACATAGTGCTGATCAACTGTTCGTAGGAAATATCAACATGTTCGCCGTCGTTCTACAAGCACACCCAAGACATTTTCCTAAGGTTGTATCACCGTGGATTGGCATATCAAGCGGAAGCGCTGGTCAATTATGATCCCGTCGATAAAACAGTCCTCGCCAATGAACAGGTTGACCACAATGGACGCTCCTGGAGGTCCGGAGCCCCTGTGCAGCAGATCAAACTACGCCAGTGGTTCTTCAAAATCACAGAGTTCAAGGAGGACTTGCTACGAGACCTGCATTATCTGTCGGACGGAGGAAAGTGGCCTGAAAGAGTTGTAACCCAGCAGCGGAATTGGATCGGCCGCTCGACAGGCGCACGTATTCAGTTTGGCTTAAAGGATAACGCCGGAAACTCTTCTCACGTCCATGTCTTCACTACCCGGCCTGATACGCTGTTTGGGGTAAAATATGTTGCGTTGTCAATGACACACCCTCTGGTGGTCCAGGCTGCCGCAAAGTCGCCTGAACTACAACTGTTTCTTGACAAGCGAGCTTCCTTCCCCCCCGACTCCAAGGAAGGCTTCGAACTGCCACTTGAAGCCTTCAACCCCCTTTCTCAGGTGGGAGACTCGAATACTGAGCCATTACCAGTATTTGCCGCTCCCTATGTGTTGGAGGACTACGGAGAAGGCGCAGTGATGGGAGTCCCAGCCCACGACTCTCGCGATCTGAGCTTCTGGAAAATTCACAGGCCCTCAGATCCTGTCCACATTGCGATATCGCCAGAACCTGTGGGTAATAGCGCTGGGCACATGTACCTGGCTGAGGTGTCGGAGGCATACACTGACGATGGCTGGCTGACTTCTTTATGTGGCCCTTATGCGGGTCTTTCAAGCAGTGAGGCCAGAACAAAGATTATCTCTGACCTCAAGAAACACTGTCTCGCAGAAGCTGTCGAGTCCTGGAGGCTGCGTGACTGGCTGGTAAGCCGGCAAAGATATTGGGGTACACCAATTCCTATCATACATTGCTCAACCTGCGGACCAGTCCCTGTACCCAGAGAGGATCTTCCCGTGGTATTACCTCGACTCGACTCATCTGTCAAGGGACAAACCGGTAATCCACTAGACAAGATTGAGGAATGGGTCAATTGCAAATGTCCAGCCTGTAAAGGCCCGGCCAAGCGAGAAACGGATACGATGGATACATTCGTCGACTCTTCTTGGTATTTCATGCGTTTCGCAGACTCAATGAACGAGGCGGAGCCCTTCTCACGACGATCCGCAGCCGATACGCTCCCCGTGGATACGTATGTCGGTGGTGTCGAACATGCCATTCTGCATTTACTTTACGCACGTTTCATCTACAAATTTCTGTGCAAGGAATGTCTTATTTCCGACGGCAATGGCCATGCTGAGCCCTTCCAACAACTTATAGCACAAGGGATGGTTCATGGGAAAACGTTCTCAGATCCTGACAGCGGCCGGTTCTTGCTGCCTGGTGAGCTCGATTTTGATGGTGAAGTTGCCAGTATCAAGGCAACCGGCAAGGCCCCAAATGTCACTTGGGAAAAGATGTCTAAGAGCAAGCATAATGGCGTCGACCCGTCCGTCGCGATCGAAAAGTTTGGAGCGGATGCTCTACGGGCCCACATCCTTTTCGCCGCCCCAGTCAGCGAAGTTCTACAATGGGACGAGGAAAAGATTGTTGGGATACAGAGATGGTTTGGTCGGGTCAATCGTATCATCTCTGAGGTGGAGGTGCAGGAGCGGACAGGTCGACATGATGTCTCACAGACCCGCATTCCTGACTTGAACACCCTGAACACGAATGACGCCGACGCCCTACTTTTGACGCAAAGCACCAGCAAAAGCATCTCGCAGACATTCTCCAGAGACATTTATAGCTTGAACACGGCAGTCTCTGACCTCATCAAGCTGACAAACGGCTTAGAAGCGATTGGAATCAACAATCTGACACCTTCGATTGCACACGTTACCGTCACCGCGCTTCTGAAGATGATGGCGCCGATCACACCAGCTTTCGCAGAGGAATGCTGGGAAAGAGTGGTGCCTGACTCGGAACGGAGTATCTTCGACGTACCGTGGACAGGCGATGTCATGACCTCTGAACAGGAGGTTGCATTGCGAAGCCGCAAAACGAGCATCACTTGCGCAGTGCAGATAAATGGAAAACTACGGTTCACAGCCCAAGTCCCCTCTCCTCCACCGGAAGGCAAGGCTGGATACGACTCAGCAGCACGAGAGGCGGAGATCATCCGTGCTGTCCTTGAAACGGAAGAAGGGCGGGTATGGTTGACGGAGAAGAACAGTTGGGAGAAAAGGAAAAGAGTAATTATTGTTGGCGGAGGGAAAGTGTTGAACGTTGTGTTCTGAGGCAGAACAGTACCGTCCTGAGACGATCCCGTCATGCCGTCTTCAACATTGTGTACGATAGAACTACCGGGAATCCGAGGGATGAAGTCTCCAATCCATGTACCAACAGATAAAACTGAAGTCGGAATGCCATATTTATTCTACGTTCTCCCTTCTGCCAGCTTTTTGCATCTACAACATGAATGAACTCGTGTCACGCCAAACCTCCCCGCGCTAAGCAGATGATTCAACTGATCTTACCACCCTTTGCCTGTTCCATAGCTTTTTGAAATACGTTTCCTTCGACGAAGGCAGTTTTCGGATAGATGTCATTTGAAAACGTCCGCTAAAACTGTTAACAGATTCCACTCCATACCTAGCTGCCTCTCCCTTTCTGCCACGTTTGCCCTTGAACATGCCCACTTTCCTTCCAATGCGCCGCCGCCATCACTGACGCTCTTGATCTCCCAAGTGGAAACAAGAATCCAGGCTCTGCGCCAGCATCACCAGCGCCACTACTCGACCCTCCCCGTGAGAATAATCTATCTATATTCTATGATGTCTTAGAATCATCTCAGGCCGTCTGCCCCAATGTAGCATGCATCGTGAACAATGATCGACGATTCCCTCCCCGGCGCCAAAGTGCACCACGCACCACCTCCGGAGGAGGCGTGGTGCAACAACAAGGATATCACCCTCCTGCCAGAGGAAATAACCTCCAGAGTGATCGGCTGCGTCGTGGGCGACGGGCTGCGCGTCTCAAACGGCGCCAGGTACGACGTCAATCTAGAGACGATCCGGTCGTTGCTGAAGACGAGCGTCTCAATCCGGCGCGAGACCTTACGACAGGTATTCCGCCGGCCGCTGCGTTTTTGCCTCAGCGGTGAGAAGACCTGCGACTGCGAGCCGCTGCTGGAGAGCATCGGGCACAAGGAGTGCCGATGCACGCTGCTGCTGGACAAGATCGTGCGGCTGCCTCTGTCCAAATGGACCGCGCTTGTCGTGCACTTTGTCCCCCTAGTACCTGCGGTGGCCGCGCAGGAGGTTGATGTTGATGTTGACGGAGCTGATGATCTCCAAGGGGACGATCAGCAGCGGCCAGAGAAACAAACATCACGACAGACTGCTGTTGATGACAGTGGGTGGGCTCTGCGCGGCGAGTTCCTGGCCGTCGTGCAGCGCGTCAAGCACTATTCCAGAAGTCTCTCGACGACGCTCTACTTCCTTCTGAAGCAGCGCGCCAACCTGTCCTGCGACGCTGCGTGTTGCGGAGTCATCGAGATGTCGCGCCGCCGCCACTACGGTCCGGTCTATTGCTCTTACGACCCGAAATTCCCGGCCCTGCCTTTCGACGTCAGCTTCGTGTTTGAGAGTCCCCCGGTCGATGTCCTTAGCGGCGGCGGGGAAGATCGCACGTTAATGCCGCTGTGGACGATGAATATGGTCAACGGCCTCCTAATGCCATGGTGGCGCTTCATCACCAAACGCGGCGTTTCACAGCAAATCAAGCTGCCTTCTTCGATCGCGGCAGCATTCACGATGGGCAGGGACCGCATCTCGCAGGAATTCCCCCACAGACCGACCGCAGTAGCGGAGCGGCTGCAGCGCGACTTTGCAGACTTCTGGGCCATCAAGCCGGGCCTGATTCCCTCATACGACGCGGCCAGCCTGTGGCCCTGTGTTGTCAACTTCGACGGCTCCTTTGAGTGGTACATGAACCCCGCGCCGCTCAAGCAGGCGCCGACAAGATGGACGATCCGTGGAGTACCTGTGATTCGCATCGTCGTGCCCGAACCTGACACAGCGGAGCAGGGCGACGGCGACGACGACTCTAGTGCTCGGTGGAGGGGCGAGTTCCTGGCTTCTGATGGCTAAAAGGTGGAAAATTTCCAATCTCCTCTTTCATTCAATCAGAGGAGGAGTGCCTTTGGCAGCAATGAGTCGCATATGGGTAAGGCATTGTCGTTAATGGATGCAGGTCATGCAATACCGACGGATGAGGGATCCAACCAAGAAAGGGAAATGACTATATACTGGTGGCACGCGAGCGACTGGTGAAAGTCTGGGATTGGAGCTATGTAGACTGAACAATCTCAAAATGACCCCAGCGTGCTGCATCATGAAGAGGTGTCCTTCCAGACGTGTTTGGCACGGTAAGCTCTCGCCCACCGCTATAAGCAAACAACTTCGTGACGATTCCAAGGTGTCCTCTCACAACTGCATCGCGAAATGGAGTCTCCAAGAAAGTCCTGTGAATTGGCATAATGAGAGTCATCAACGCTGAGGGCCTCGCTCGTTTCGACCGCAAATGTCACTTCCAGCAACCGGTCAACCACCGCTTCACCCCCATAGCTCGCTGCCTCGTGCAGGTAAGTCCGAGTTTTCACATCTTGGTATTGATACCTCGATACCTTCTCGGGCTTTTCAAGGATCCTGAGGGCTATAGCATCAGCCTCATGACGTAGCGCACACATCAATGGGGTATGACCATAGTCATTTTCGTGATCAAGTATCTCATCATTGAGGTCGATCAAAAGGGTCGCCGTCGATGTACGTCCTTCGCTGACGGCATCCCACTGCGGGCGTCCGTCCACGGGAGTCGCGCCAGCCTGTCAGTACCTTTGTCCAAGAGGCCACATCCTCAGCAAAACGGCCTGCGTTTTTTGTTACTAAGTGTTTACAATCTAGACATGACAATTCGTCATCGGTGCCTGTGTTGGGTGGGCGTCCACGACCAACGTAATCGGTGATCCAGTCATCCAGACCCCTGGAAGCGAGGAAGTGGAGGGCGCACCGGCCATGGTTTATTTCCACATATCCGTCATTTTCAAGGGCTTCCAACGCAGCGGCGACTCGTCCGTGGTCGTCCAAGAAAGACAAGGCCCCCTGCTTCAGGGATGTATTCTCGCTTCCAGAAGAAAGGTGCCAGTGGCAGAATTGAGCGCTATATCTTAAGAACAGAAATTTTTGGCTACTTCTAAACCCATCGATGTTGAGGTAGCCTTTGTGAGCATCCAGGTGCAGATGATTCAAACAGCAACTGGCTATGAATTCATGAGGATTTGGCATTAGTTGGTTCCCGAGCGATTCCAGAAAGCTTTGTGTTGTATAGTGGACTAAACGAATGATGTTGCTCTTAGAGTCGACTGTCGCCAGGCCGGCCCAACTTGAGATCACGTCATCAGGATTGTCCAAGTCGTACTCCGGATCCGGCTCTTTGGTTTCCTCATCACAATGATGACTGTCGAGAACCCCGACAACAACTTTTCCAATATCGCGCACATTTCTTCGAGATTGGGATATGTGGCCGGTTTGCGCAGGTTGTGCTCCTCATAGACGGTCTCGATCGAATCATTATTGTGTGGTTTGTGCGGAAACAGTTGGCGCACCATGCTAGAGATGATGTGGAGGAGGGACTGGGTAGCCGTCCTCTCGAAACTTATAGAAGAACGCAAGAGCTGAAGTGCCATCCTGACAGACACGCGCCGACAGCTCATTGATGATGACTGAAGCAACAACAGTCTTGCCAGCCCCGGAATGCCAGGAAGTAGCAGTGTAGAAGGGCCCCCGCTACTGAGCCAATTTGCAGTACAATGGTTCGTTGAATATCAACGTTTGGACTCTTTTTTCCGTTCGGTTTTAGCCGGATTCGCCAACTCTTGAGCTATGTGGTGTTGCAGTGAACTAAGACTAGGAGATCAGTGGTTCCCGAGTACAGGCCCTGTGTTATGTCTCACCTGTCCAAACATTGACGTATACTAGCAAGTAGCTGGATAGACAGTTTGAGCCGAAAGCGAAGCTGATTTGCCTCGTTGGGATTCCATTTGAGGCGTTTCCATATTCGCTGTGGCACCTTTCGAGGAATTGCAGCTGGTGAACCAAGTTCAGTGTGGGCATCGATGACATGGTTCAGGTCTTTCAAGACGGATTCACAGTTGTTCATAGCGATTTGCAAGTCGTGCCTGATTGAATCTGCAAGCTCATCGTCTTCGATCTGAAGCTTAAGGTCGGCGACAACTATTTGAAGTGTTCGCGTCCTAGAATGATGAGAGGAAGTTACTCGTGAATGCAAGGCAAAAATACGAACTCGACAGCAAGAGCACTGTATTCCGAAGGCGCTTCCTTGAACCGTTTCCTTGTGCTTTCCACCAACTTTGCAACTTTAGGAAATCTGAGATGGAGAATCCAAAGCTCATGGCGCAAAGCCTTGATAAGAAGGACTGTGTCCCGCTTGAATTGAAAAGAATGCCGGATGACAGAGCCAGCGCGAGAGGACGTAAAGGCTTCGTCGCTCTAGATATGGCTGGGTGGTTACCAACTGTGCACAAGCTGAACACAGCCTTACTCGGTAGCCCTTTCCCACTCGTCGCTTTGTAGGCACTCCAAATGCCGAAGTTTATCCGATGGGCCAAAATTGTTCGCCGTCGCCGCTGAGACTCATCGCATTGTTTCGCATGCGTGTATCCCATACCCCGACTAGACTTCATCATGAGGCCGGCGTTACGGCAATCGAGCCCCTTCCAATGGGGCCACACTCCCCGAACCAGGTCTTGTATTTTATTGCGACAGCGTCGTTTCTTTGCGGCTGTGGCGGACGCAATCAAGTATGCCTCTCGGGTCTTCCTTGTTTACACATTTGTACTGACTCAATCCAGGCATTACGACGTAGTCGTAATCGGCGGCGGCCATGCAGGGACAGAGGCCAGTGCAGCTGCAGCAAGATCAGGCGCTCGCACAGCGCTAGTTACTCCGTCTTTATCCAACCTCGGGGTCTGTTCCTGTAACCCTAGTTTCGGTGGCATTGGCAAGGGCACTATGATCCGAGAGATCGATGCGTTAGACGGAGTCGCCGGTCGCATAATTGATAAAGCGGGGATCCAATTTCGAATGTTGAATATCAAGAAAGGTCCTGCGGTATGGGGTCCGCGAGCGCAGATTGACCGAGATCTGTACAAGAAATACATGCGGGAAGAGATGTTGTCAACACCAAACCTGAGCATATTAGAAGGCAAAGTCGCAGA